GATGCCACTTGTCACCTATCATAGTGGCCATCAGAAAGCACTGTCGTTGTCAGTACTGGCAAAGTTGTGGGGAAATAAATCCTGTCCTATTCTTGGTGCACGGAATATGAATGGACACTACATTTTCAAGGGGCAGTTAAGCAAAACCTATCAAAAGCCTAGGCTAAACTCTTATTTGTACCTTCCCTTGGTTCATTCACATACCAAGTGCCTATTAAGCCCTCAGCTCTAGAGTAAGACAGGATCTATATTCTCAGCACTTTTGTTCTAATTAGGCAGGTTTTTAGATGGAAACTGAAATCTTGAAAATTTTTACACTGAATTTTTAGAAATGATAGAAAGCAAAAAGAATTTATACCAGATACTAGATTTACCTCTGTTTTCTTTCATAATAATGAAAAGTAAACCATGTATGTTTATGAGTGGGTAAAATCTCAGGTTATAAATCCACAGTCCCTTCTGTGTCCTAGCAGATAACACTGGAAGCTTAAGTTGATCACCTGTCATGGTTGCCACAAAGAAGGCCCTATTCATTTTGACAATGCTCAGTTCCTTAGAAACCTGTCTTCTGTGGTCCTCCCTGTCTCCTCCAACTGTTTGCTCCCAGTTTTAGTATCTAGATCTCTGAAGATTATCTTTTTCCACATCCCCACCCCCAGTCCTCCTAAATCTTCTCTTAGTCAATAGCACATCTATTCCTTCCAGTGAGACTCATTCTCGATCCCTCTTGAACAACCCACTTCCAAATCTCTGCAAATCCTGACAGCTTTACCTTCAAAACGTGTCATTGGTGCAACCATTTCTCCTCTTCTGCCCCTGCTCTGGCCACAGCCCACAGTTATCTCTCACTCCCATTGCTGGTAATAGCCAGCTAATTGGCTTCCCTTGATTTGCTTGCTCTCTGGCCAAAAATCCCTGAATGGCTTCCATTGTTCTCCCTACTTCCACACCCTGCCACCCACATCCATGTTCTTCAAACACTTAGTGTTTCCTCCCAGGGCTTGTGCACTTAACTGTTTCCTCTACCTGGAAACTTCACCCAGACACCTGCAGTTTGACTTCCTTCAGTCCCGGCTGACATACCACTTCATCAAGAAGTGTTCCCCTAAACTCCCCTAAAATGACAATTCTTCAGCACATCCCACCCCGCTTCTGCCTTATTTTTCTCCATTATATATCTGTGTACATTATGTATCCATTTCTCCCTATATACTATATTTGTTGGCAGTGTCTACCTACCCCCCTCCCAACCTTATTAGAGCATAAGCCCTAAAAGGGTAAAGACTTAGTTTTGTGAAGAGTGCCTGGTATATAGCACATGCTTTTAAAAATGTGTTCAATGGATGGATAGACCATTATTTCCAGACCTGTAGTAATTCGTATTCCTTTCTCTGGATATCTACCCTATGTCAATGTCTGAAAATGTGATAATCCTTGCCCTTCGCGATGCAAAGTGCAGTGAACCTACATTCCTGGACCTGGGTATTCTACTTCTGTTAACAGAGCCTGTAATGGCAATCACTTTCTCCTCCTTCCCCTCCTCCTCCTTTCCTCCTCCTCCCCCTCTTCCTCTTTTTTCCTTCTCCTTCTTTCCTCCTCCTCCGCCCCCTTGAAGAATTCGGGTGTCCTTTGCAAAGAATCCAAAAATACTTGAAAGAAACAAGTCTCTTGGATTTGAATTCACTACCCCAGGATCCCTAAAGAAAAACTAGCAATTCAATTGCCCTAGCCAATTACCTATGCTTTTCCTAACTTTGCCATTCCTGCATACACAATGCAATGTGTGCTGGGCAGTGAGGGGGATATGAAAATAAAACGTAAACAGAGTCTGTCCTAAAGGTTCTCCCTGTTGAGATGATGCACATAGCAACTGGGATACATGCCCTGACATAGTTAAGTGCCCTAAAAAAGATACTGATTATTGTACCAGTTCAGGGAGAAATACTACAGCTTATTTGAAGGAAGGAATTTGAGCTAAGTCCTTAAGATTTGGACATAGAAACAGCCTTCTAGAATCTAGTCAAAAGGAAAAGCTAAAGCAAAAGAATGGATTGGGTAAGCACCAGAAATAGTCACTAATCCCATTTCACTGGAAGATATATTGGGGGGGGGGGGGGGAAGAATGGCAAAAGGTGAAAGATGAAAAACGTTATTTAGAACCAAAGGTGTAGAACTTTGAATGCCAGCCTGACAAACCATATGTGTTGGAAATAAGAGTTATTGAAAGTATCTGGGAAACAACATCCTTAGTTGTTGCCTTAGGATAATGAATCTGGTGGCTGTGAAGAAAAGCTTTGACAAGGCATGAGGGGTGGGGGCAGAGCTGGAACTAAGGAATACAGTTTAGGAGGTCAGTACAATTATCCAGCCAAAATTATTCAGCTTGAGCAAGTGCAGTAGCAGTTAAGAATAGAAAAGCAGGAAATCACAAAAGATATGGAGGTACAAAATTTGGCATTGGGTTGAAGGATTTCAGAATGAAGCAAAGAAAGGGTAGGCAGTAGTGGATGTGGCTTTTGAGTCAAGGTAGCCTCACTGCAGAAATAGAAACTCCAGGGGCACCTATGTGGCTCAGTCGGTTAAGCATCTGACTCTTGGTTTTGGCTCAGGTTAGGTCTTACGGCTCGAGCCCCACATAGGGCTCTGTGCTGGCAGTGCTGAGCCTGCTTGGGATTCTCTCTCTCCTTCTCTCTCTGCCCCTCCATCACTCTCTATCTCAAAATAAATAAATAAAAACTTAAAAAAAAAAAAAAGAAGAAGAAGAAGAAAAGAAATAGAAACTCCAGGAGTTGAAAAGCTTGCTTGGAAGGAGTTCCAAATATCTTGCATTTTAGATGCCAAAAGATGTTAAATAGAGATTGCTCTCAGTATGTAAAATTAGGGAGATGTGGGAGGCATCCGCACAGAAGTGACCAATGAAATTGTGAGTTTGCGGGAAGGTTTAGAGAAAAGAGGCAATGAATATGAATGTGTGAATATGGGTATATTAGGTAGATTCTAGAAGTCTTTGAAAGTCCAGAAGAAGAGCCAGTGAACGTAGATTAGGATAGCTGAAATGAAGCAATTAAGAGACCCAATAGAAAACACTGACAAGAATAAAAAAAATAATTTTGAGTAAACAATAGAAACTGTACAATGTACTCTGTCCCCAGCTAACCACCTCTCAGCAACGTATATCACCAAACGTTGGGTTCTGGAGTGCCTTCTACCTTTTTTTGAACAATGGGGATGGAACTGTTATTTTTATTTCCTAACAACATTGTTAGAATACTTGCAGTATAATCAGTTTAACCAGGGATGTTTAAAATAAGACCTTATGGGGCACCTCAGTGGCTCTGAAGGTTAAGCTTCAGACTTCCAATCTTTGAGCTGATAGCATGGAGTCTGCTTGGGATTCTCTCTCTCTCTCTCTCTCTCTCTCTCTCTCTCTCTCTCTCTCTCCTCCTCACCATTTGGTGCTATCTCTCTCCCTCTCTCTCTCAAAAAATAAACTTAAAAAAACAAAATTAGACCTTATGGGGCACCTCAATGGCTCTGAAGGTTAAGCTTCAGACTCCTGATCTCTGAGCTGTTGACATGGAGTCTGCTTGGGATTCTCTCTCTCCCTCTCTCTCTCTCTCTGTGCCCCTCCCCAACTGGTGCTGTCTCTCTCTTTCTCGAAAAATAAACTTACAAAATAAGACCTTAGGCGGCACAAGTAAATTTAAAATAGACACACATACATTGATGCAAAGAGCAGTCTTTCATAAATTTACGCCTTTAATAACACTGAATTTGAACTCTTCCCTGGGTCCATTTATAATGAGAATGAATCTAGACTTGCATTTCTCCCGTCCCTCACATTTATTTTCATTCCTACTCAATTTGTGTTGTTCACAAAGCATGCCAAGTGCCCTGCACAGCACAGAAAATGTTTCCCTAACCAGTAGGCTCATTCATGCGCACGCCTAGATTTGAGTTTAATAGTATAATTAGAACCCTATAAATTATTGCATTAGGAGCCCGGAAGAGCATTTCTTTTCACCATTAATTGACACATCAGGTCTTTGCACTGAATATATATTATCTGAAAGGAAATGTTTGATTTTAAAATCAGACAGGGTTACCTGGCCTTCCTTCGTTTCACTAGTCTTGCCAGAGTCCCGAGTGTCCTTTGTGAAAAATGTACTTTCAATATAGTACATTTCATTTTTTTTTTTTTTTTCAAGAAAGACTTCCATTTTTCCCCCCACCTAGCCTGGAGCATATTATGGACAGTGTCAATGGACAAAACAGTAGCTCTCCAGCTAGAGAGTGCACTCCATCGTCAACCTTCGCAAGCTCTTCATAACCTCAGCTCCGTTTGGAAGCGAGGATCGCTTTCCTTCGCCCTCCGCCGGGTCCCCCCAGCGTCCTCCCGATCCCTTCTGTCTACGTCCCAGTGTCGCCAACCACAGCGGCGGAGGGGAGCCTCCCAGAGTAGCTGGGGGCGGAGGGAGGGGGCGCGGGCAGAGGGGCTGGGATGGGCGGACACAAGGCGCCGCGCGAAGGTGGCGGACACCCCGCGCGAAGCCCACCGCGAGCGCGCGGACGCCGAGACGGGGGCTCCCGAGAGCGCTGCGTTGTCGGGGGGCGCGGGGCCGCCTGCGTGGACCTTGTCCGCACGCTCTCGCCGCCTCCGCCCGGCTGCCCAGCTCGCTCCCCGCCTCTCCCCACCCTCCGAGAGCCGTTGGTACAGTCCCGCTGACTCCGAGAGCTTAAAAAGGGCCGGGGCCTCCCAAGCCAGCCGATTTGGTCCTGATTTGTGTGCGCGGCGCGTCTCTTGCGAGCCCGGATCCGCCACGCAGCTGGAGGACGTCGGAGGGGGGGTCTCTTGCCGTCTTGGTGGGGGGCGTTCCTTCGGCTGCGGCGCTCGAGCGTGTGTAGCCGTCCAGCCAGCAGCTAAGGCCCCTCGCCGCCGGCTCCTCGGTTCGCTCAGCTCCCGCACCGGAGAGCCGCGCGCGCCGCCAGCTCGGCGAGGGATGGAGCAGACCGAGGTGCTAAAGCCGCGGACCCTGGCGGATCTGATCCGCATCTTGCACCAGCTCTTCGCCGGCGAGGAGGTCAACGTGGAGGAGGTGCAGGCCGTCATGGAAGCCTACGAGAGCGACCCCGCCGAGTGGGCAGTGTACGCCAAGTTTGACCAGTACAGGTGAGCGCGCCCTAGCCCTGGCCGCGGGAGCCCCGGCGCGGGATCCGGGTCCGAAGAGGGATCCGAGGGCGCGGCGGAGGAGGGGTCTGGCCGCTCCGGGCCCGCCGCTCGTCAGCCTTTCCCGCACCCCCCGCGCTACGCCTGCTCGCCCGCGGCTCGGCGCTTTGGGCCAAACCTGGATCATCCCCGCCTGGCCGGAGACTGCGGCAGGCTCCGGGTGCGGAGGCCACCGCGCGGCCGCAGAGGGTTTTGTCCTCTTCGTGCCGGTGCACCGCCTTCTCCGGGCCCCGGGAGCACTGCCCTGCCCTCCGGCGCAGTCGCTCGCCCTGGCCGCCGCGGCGCGGGGTGGGGGGACCCCCGGTGGCCCCAAGCACTCATTCTCCGCCGGGCCCGCCGCCCGGGGGGGACCGACTGGCCGGAATGTCGGAGCGTGCCCCCGGGAGACAGGGGTGGCGGCTGGAGGACTCGATTCCCTCCCTCCAGTTCTCCATCACTCGATCGCCTGCAGCCAGGCACCTGCCAACGCGCATTTTATTTATTTATTTATTTATTTATTTATTTATTTATTTACCGATAGAAAATAGCGTCGTGGGGTTCCCAGCTGCTGCTGTTTTTCAACTTGTGCCGCCCCTCCCAAACCCATTTAACTTCCCGGACTGCGGGTTTGTTTCAACCCACGATCAGGGGTGTGCGTTGAAGGGCTGCTTCTCTTTGAGCCCCCCCAAGCAGTTGCGCTTTCTCGAATCCTCAGTTCTGAGGCCCTCCGGAATGTCAGTTGAAGACCGCTGCCTTTGCCACATGTGATGGAGCGAGGGGGCCCGTGGCAGCCCTCGCTCGGTGGTACCAATACAAATGAATCTCCCTACCAGTCGTCCGGGGCCAGAAGTAAACCTGAATCACCCTGAAGGGTGAGGGCTTCTTTGCCGACGGGCAGCTCGCGATTCAGTCTTTCTGGTTAGTCGGGCTGAGGGTAGGGAGAGGAGGATCCCTGAAAGATCAGAATAAACCGAGATTGTGTATTCCTTGGGAACAGTTTTTGTTAGTCCCCTCACCTAAACATAGCGTGTTTGTCAGCAAGGGCAGTTTCCTCTGCATTTTAGGGCTTGAAATAAAAATGTGAAGCCTTTGTAAGATCCCATTCGCTGTTTGCAGTGGCTCCAGGAAATTCCTTCGGTTCCTATCCTGAAGTGGTTGCCAGTAAAGCTACCGGAGGCCACTTTTTAATTTTGCCATTAGCTCCAAGTAAGCAAGGGCTTATTATGGCCCATATACTCCTTACCTTATTTTTGTATTAACTCATGTACCTCATGACAGCCCTGTGAGATAGGTACAATTTCTTACCCTTTTTTTTTTTTTTTTTTTTTTTTTTTTTTTTTTTTTTTTTTTTTTTTTTTTGCAGATGATGAGTGGTAGGCATTAATAAAAAGGTTGGATTACCTGCGTCAGGTCATACTTCTATCAGGTAGCAGCTCCAGGATTCAAATTAGCGTTGTTGTCCCACAGCCCAGAGGCCTCCCTCCAAACAACTACGAAACTTACTGCAGACAGATGATGTGGTAATAGTTTGCTTTCAGGGTAGATTATTGATCAAGTGAAATTCATCAACCTAGGTAGGCTGAGGGCTCTTTATGTATAGAACAATGCCATTTCCCCAGGCTTTGAGTTCATCTTGACCGACAAGCTCTAATTAAATCACTTGAGATGCAAGCATTTGGATTGATCTATTGCATGGGTATGCGGGTCGCAACTAATGAGGATAAATGGGTGGGCACTTGGAGAAAGGTGGGAGAGCAGAAATCATTTGGGCAGTATTTGTGTGTGTGTGGAATAGGTATCCTAGCACTGCAAAGGATTCTGATCTCTGACCTTGGGAAGGCCAGTACAGAAGAACCAGGACAGAATATGTTGCAGTGTGGGGCGCCTGGGTGGCTCAGTGGGTTAGCACTGGACTTCTGCTCGGGTCATGGGTTCATGTCAGTTTGTAGGTTCACGTCAAGCTCTGTGCTGACAGCTCAGAGCCTGGAGCCTGCTTCAGTTTCAGTGTCTCCCTCTCTGTCTGCCCCTCCCCCTGCTGGCACTCTCTGTCTGTCTCTCTCTCTCTCTCTCTCTCAAAAATAAACACTACAAAAAAAAAAATTAAGAATATATTCTAGTGTGAGCCAGACAGTAATTTCTCTGGGAACAGTCCCAGAGAAGCAAGAGGGGGGCCCCTAAGACTGGTAGAGGGAGAAAGAGTCTGTGTGTGTGTGTGTGTGTGTGTGTGTGTGTGTGTGTGTGTGTGTAACAAAATGTAGTTTATTGTGAATTAAAGGCTGTGTGCACAGCCTCTTGGTAGGTCCTCAAGGGCTACAAATTTAGGATGACTGACATCTGAATAGCACTTACTAATCCACTCTCTCCCTCTGCCAGCACCTGGCTTCCTGCCTTGCTGGAAGAAAGGGAGAAGAGACATAGGAGACATAAGTGAACAGATGACTCTGTGATCAAACAGTACCCCAAATATGGGGTAAAGATTCCTTCTCTTAAAAAATAAATCTAAATGAAAAAAAATAAATAAATCTAAATGAATGTCATAATTATCAAACTTTACTAATTAGATGGTATGGGTGATACCACCCTTTTTTTTTAAATGTTTTACTTTTGAGAAACTGAGACAGCATGAGCAGGGGAGGGGCAGAGAGAGAGAGAGGGAGACAGAATCGGAACCAGGCTCCAGGCTCTGAGCTGTCAGCCCAGAGTCCCGCCTGGGGCTTGAGCTCCTGGAGGGCAAGATCATGACCTAAGGGAAGTCTGTGGCTTAACTGTCTGACCCACCCACGCACCCCTGGATGGTACCCCTTTGATCAATAGGAACTTGAAAGTGGGTTGTTGTGTTTTTTTGTTTTTTTTTTCCCCCTGATGATGGGCTTGTGGTGGTTTTGATTTGGGATTTTTTTGAGGGGGCCACTTGCTGGTTTCTCCTGGAAAACTTTTAGAGTGTTACTTACTATGCTCATGTAAATTTCCTTTGTTGTATACTTAAATCAATCCCCACCCTATTTGTGGAGGACTTTAAATCATGAGTGCTTTTGAATGTGGTTTGTGTCTGGGCTATAGCAAAAATTATGGAGAATTCTAAAAACAGCTGTGTAATGAAACCTTGTTTCTTATGGTTTAGCTTACAAGAGAAAAAATAAAGCAATAGCAACTTTTTTGCATATACAGCAGCAATGCACTCTGCAAATACCTCTGTGAGAAACTGATTCTTTTTATCAGCTCAAGGCTGTCATGTGGAGAAACAAAGAATTTCCTTTTTTTCCCCGTTATCTTTTCTGTGCCATTAATTAAAACGGAACATCTATAAACATGGTGGTTCAAAATACAAAAAATGTCCAAAATGTTGAACTGTGAAAAATTATTTGTTTTCATTTTAAGTTGTTTGGAGGAGGAAATGTTAGCATTTGTCAACCAGCCATACTTTGTGACACACTTCTTTTTCCCAGTGCATATTTCATCAACCAGATTCAAACTTCTGAATACCTTCCTTTTAGGTATACCCGAAATCTTGTGGATGAAGGAAATGGAAAATTTAATCTAATGATTCTCTGTTGGGGTGAAGGACATGGCAGGTAATACAATTATTCATTTGCAGATACTTATTAATTCTCTGTTCCAGCGTAAGGAAAGTACAGTGCCAGAATGGTCACAGGTCTTGGGAGCACTAACACATCTCATGTTACAATTATTTTGTTTACAACGTCCCAACAAAAATTTTTTACGGGAATTAGGGTCAGGGAGTTAGGCATACACCCTGAGTGTCAAAACCAGCCCCCCCAAAATGAGTCGCAAATCAAAAGATGTATGTAACCGGTTTAACTTCATCTCTGTCTTCTGTGGAGTTAAGTATATATGGAATTTTGCTAAAACTTGACCTTTGTGGTGCTTTGAGATATGCAATGAATTGCAGGACCAAAGACCAAAGTGTCCACATCTGGACCTAGAAAAGGAGTTCACCAGTTCCGAAGATTTCTTTCTGCGTCAAGTTAATTGTTGACTGTTATTTTTTTAGTTTTCTTTTTAATTTTTTATGTAGAGGGTAAGGCAGCTTAAACTAATTCCAATTCTTTGAAACTTGGTTCCTTCATTTGTCTTTAGTTGATACATTTGTGAGTTGCTATCTCTGTAAACAGATCCTTCTCAGGCTTTTGAGAATGGTACAAACAAAAATGGCAGACCCATTTTTGATGGGAGAAAGGAAACCTGAATTTATGAGATTTGGGGGCGAGTCAGGTCTATCTCGAGGACATTTATTTACTCCTGTGGAATGGAGTTGGTTGCATCCATTCTTCCAATATATTTTGAAAGTAGATTATATGTCGAAAGTGGGACTAGGCTCTGTGGGTTTAGGAAATGAGTTCTTACAGTTTTATGAATTCTTACAGTTTAATGGATTCAACATAGGCATTAAATGCTAATGACATATATGGCTTCCTATCTTTTAATCAACCCTACGGCTAATGCTACTTATTAAACTGAAATACCGTTTACGATTACATGAATAAATATTTCCTGCAAATCCAATGTCCTTTCTTTCTCCCTCCGTTATTGGGAGTTAATCACAGGTGGAATACTTTAAACCTACAAAATGTTAACATTATTACAGTATAACTTCTGGGTGTTAACATCCATATACATATCTTTTGTCCCTCGAAGGAAAAGAGAGAAAAGGCCTGGGGTGAGAAAAAAACACTATATGCTACATGATCTTACAAGTGAGACACAGTTATTATAGATAATTATCTTTATTCTTTCCAGATTTTCCCTAATGTAATTGTATAATCAAGTTGTAGCCCAGATTAACCAAGTTATTAAAAGCTATGTCTTGGGGAAGATAAAAGAAGATAAAAATGCCATATGTACATTGATACGAAAGCCATAGTACAGTAAAACCTTGGTTTGTGAATATAATTCATTTTGGAAACATGCGTATAATCCAAAGCACTTGTATATCACAGCCAATTTCAAGAACCATTGGCTCACTTGTGATCATGTGATATGTATTGCAAGACATTTCTTGTTTATCAAGTTAAAATTTATTAGAAATGTTCACTCGTTGGGTCGCCTGGGTGGCTCAGTCGGTTAAGCTTCCGACTTCAGCTCACGTCATGATCTCACGGTTCACGAGTTCGAGCCCTGCGTCAGGCTCTGTGCTGACAGCTCAGAACCTGGAGCGTGCTTCAGATTCTGTGTCTCCTTCTCTCTCTGCCCCTTCCCCGCTCACACTGTGTCTCTCTCTGGCTCTCAAAAATAAACATTAAAAAAGAAAAATATTCGCTCATCTTGCAGAGCACTCCTAGAACAAGTTCCTCGCAATCCAAGGTCTTACTGTATCTTATATGTCGCCCTGAACAATGTTAATTATAAATTGATGACCTTTACAAATACAGCTGAAGTGGTTTGTGACCTGTCCTCATGATAGGATGTGGCGGGAAGTTCTGGGCAGACTTACTCTACGCATGGGGCCTGGACCATTTACTGAGCTCAGTTGTCTCTTTGTGTATATATAGCAGCATCCATGATCACACTGACTCCCACTGCTTTCTGAAGATGCTGCAGGGAAATCTAAAGGAGACATTATTTGCCTGGCCTGACAAAAAATCCAACGAGATGATCAAGAAGTCTGAAAGGATCTTGAGAGAAAACCAGTGTGCCTACATCAACGGTAACATCCAACACCTTTCTTTCTTTAAGGGCGAGCGGGAAAAGCCTTGAACCCCCATCTGCAATATTGCTTACTTGCACATGTACAGCTGAATTTGGATCATGGAGTCGTGACTTCAGATACTTGGAAAATGGCCTAAAAAGCAGTTGGTTTTGTTTTTAAAGTTTTGCGTCTGAATTGGAATCACTTACTCAAAATATATGCACGTTAGATTAGCGTCCACTGAAAAGGCATTTCCTGCCAAGTCTTAGGACAGTTAGAATCGAATATGAATTTACAAAAGTAGATTGTTTGAATAAGGGAGTGAGGCTATGTGGAAAATATTAGTCTTTGTGTTAGAAACGTTCTGGAAACAATTAGAAATGTGAGCTATAGTCCTTGTTGTTTATAAAATGTATACAGCATACTTAAGAGTATTCTCAAGGGAGCTTTAACAAAGCACGTTATTTAGCAGTGATTTCTAGCTCTCTAACCAAGAATTCATTCTTTTTCCTAAAGGTGATTTGGCAGAGCCAAATGCTTTTCAAGAACAGTCTGTGATTAACATCTGTATTTTTTTTTAATGTTGTTTATTTATTTATTTTGAGAGAGAGAGAGAGAGAGAGAGACAGAGTGCGAGCAGAGGGTGGGGGTGTGGACAGAGAGAGAAGGAGACACAGAATCCGAAGCAGGCTCCAGGCGCTGAGCTGTCAGCACAGAGCCTGACGCGGGGTGGACCTCACAAACCGCGAGATCACGACCTGAGCCGAGTTCGGACATTTAACTGACTGAGCCACCCAGGTGCCCCTAACATCGTATTTCTAAAGAGGATAGTACCTTTCCAAATAGCCTGTTAATGATTATAGGAGATCATTTTTAATTCCCATTTATAGATGAGATTGCCAACACATAGGAAGAATAAGTAATGCAGCCAAGGTCCCTCAGCTCTTAGTGCAAGTCAGGATTTGAACTCAAGCCATTCGATTCCAAAGACCATACTCTTAATTGGGATACTATCCCAATGATGTAAAATATTACAGAGATTTTCTGGTCATGTAGCTGCTTCTTGTATCTTTTTTTTTTTTTTTAAGTTTATTTATTTATTTAGAGAGAAGGAGAGAGAGAATCCCAAGCACTGTCAGTGCAGAGCCTGATGTGGGGCTCGAACTCACGAACCGTGAAACTGTGACCTGAGCCAAAACCAAGAGCCTGTGGCTTAACCAACTGAGCCACCCAGGCGCCTCCTTTCTTCTTATATCTTAAAGTCCCATTTTGGCTTTAATACTTGGCCTGAATTAGTTCATTAGTTTAAGAATGCAAGCCAGTTACAAAGGTCAGATTGTATGGGAACTTTTCTCTCCCATTCACAAAACACAGAGATGTTTGTTTCTTAGGTGACAGGAAGCTTTTATTTGAGGCTTGCTGTATGTATAAGGCACATCAGATTTCCAAGAGCGATTTTGTTGCCTCTATCACTCACAATAAAGCCCAGAGCCTTTCAGAATAAATACTTTCAGCTGGAGTCACAGAGTCTACAAAACTAGATTAGATCTTAAAGAATAAGCAAGCTTTTTTCAAGGGTCTTTGATGCAGAACCTACCAGAGCCAAGCAGTGAGTGACGCAGGGCAGGAATAAGGCTGGGGTACTGGTGTGTGCAAGCCACACTGTCCAAGGGGCAGTGGCCACCGTCTGTTTCCAGCCCTTTGTTCTGATTTCTTTTTCCACCAAAGTGGGAAATTCCCCTTTTTATGGGAAATATTGCCAATTGGTAAAATATTGGGTGGGATAAGCTGAATGGGTCTGTGGATGAATTTCCCGTAAGAGCAAAGGCCTCAAAAATTCAACCTTTGATTTTTACAGACGCAGGAGAAGGGGTGCAGGTGAACAGTGGTCAGCGGGAAGGATGTTTCCTGCACAGGAAACAGTGTGAGGGCAGGGGAGGCACAATGATTGCAAAGAATGAAAACTGTTCAGGAATGGTCTTGCCAGAGGGAAGAAGGGACAGTGGGCTTGGACAGGAGTAGTAGGAGAGTAAAGTGAGATCAGGGCCTGGGCCTCCCACGACCTGCTGATGTAAGAGCCCGCTTTGGTCAGTAGAATTCTGTCAGGAGTGTCTTCATGGATTCCGTAGCAGTATGCAACACAGGGTGGAGGAAAGAGAAAACTGGGACAAGGAGACCAAGTTACTTATCGTAAAGGCACATGGTAGACATGTCTGGCGTCCATAACTACCACCAAGAAAGATTCAAGGTTATTGTGAAAGATGGTACCCCATGGGCATAAAGGAAAGGCGGCAGAGGCGGATGGACAGATGGGCGGATGGATGGATGGATGGATGGATGGATGGATGGATGGATGGATGCTGGGATTGTTAACAATAGGTATCAGACAGGAGTTTCCAGGGTTTCTCTAAAGGATGGTGGCTAGGATTTGTGGGCTCTGTGCTTGCAGGGTTGTATGGCTTGCATTGGGTAGCATACGCATGTGCACCTGGAGAAACAAATAATAATTTGCATAAGGGACAGTCATTCCTTAAGAAGGTGGAACTTGTGTTCAAGATTGTTCTTAAGCCAGCGTCTTATGAGCAGTAAGCTATAGAACCAAAGAGGTTGCACCTGTGAGAATTATGTCCCATTTTTGGAAGTGAGGAAAACTGCTGAAGATCCCAGAAGTTGTGAGTTGGGGGAAGGCGGTCTTGGCTATTATCTGGCTGGGAGGAGAACTTCAGTCTTCCGCTTAAAGGCTTTTCTGTTCTCTCTCGCAAGCTCGTGGAGCCAGATCATGAATCACAAATCATAAAATAGGCACCAAATTGGGTGCCTACATTAACGACACAAATTACCCTGAATTCCTTCCTTGATTATTCTTTAAACTCTATCCTAACTATAAATTTCTTCTCAACATATTTTTAAATTGTTTTTGTCTTCTCTTTCTCCTTCCTTCCTTTTCTCCTTCCTTCCTTCCTTCCTTCCTTCCTTCCTTCCTTCCTTTCCTTCCTTCCATCCTTCCTCTCTACCTTCCTTCCTCTCCCCCAGGGCCCCTAGACTTGCTTCAGTTTGAATTGGTTTGTTTCCGAGCCAGGGCTCAGCTGTCATCCTGGAGTACCTTCACATCATTCAGTCTTTCCCTCTGTTTCCTCCTTTTGCTGATACCCTTATTTCCTGATATGCTGTCTGCTTCCTTCTTGGTTCATGCCCTTATTTTGGTGGAACATCTCCTCAGTCTCATCTCCCTTGGTGAGAAAGGGTTCGTGGAAAGTAAATTTCTGAGACCTCATTCACCTGAAAGTCTCTATAGTCCATTGGTACAACATGATTGATACGGAATTAGGGCCTAGAATCTTTTCCCAGAACTATGAAAGGTAATCCCTTGACTTTTAGTTTCCAGTTGTCTTTGTGAAAGCCTGCTGCCACTCTGATTCTTAAATCGTTCTATGAAACTATTTTTTTCTTTCTAGAAATTTTGGGATCTTCTCCTTTGGTATCTTTTCCTGTCCCGAGCATTACAATCATGTCCCTTGTTTCACGACTCCCAGTCATTGATTGTGTTCGGTACTCCGTGGGTTCTTTCATTCTGGAAACCTCTGTCCTAATCCAGGAATATTTTCAGGTTATTTCTTTGGGGTTTGGTTTCGTTCTATTTCTGAAACTCCTGTTGCTCAGTTAGGAAACCTCCTGAACTGGTTGTCTGATTTTTTAAAGTCTTCTCCTGAGTAGTGTTTGTTCAGGTTGTTTTTTGGGAGGTTTGCTCTGGCCCTTTTTAATACTAGAGATCTTTTTTTTTTTTTGAACATTTTAAATTTATTTCTGAGAGAGCGCAAGCGGGGGAGGGGCAGAGGGAGAGGAGGACGGAGAATCTGAAGCACCTTCAGGCTCTGAGCTGTTTTTAGCATAGAGCCCTACGATGCAGAGCTCAGACTCATGAACTCTGAGATCATGACCTGAGTGGAAGTTGGATGCTTAACCCACTAAGCCACCCACGTGCTCCAATACTAGAGATCTTGCTCAAATATCTAGGGGCCTTGGCTGTGGGCTAATATTTGAAAACCAGGGACAAAAAAAAAAAAGTTAACTGATAGCTCTGAACACAAGAATGGTGTCTGTCAACTGGCCTTCACTCTAGAATAATCTGGCAGAGCTTTTTCCTTGAGGAACAGCCAATGGCAGTGTCTTTAAGAGCTTTATTCTGGAGCCAATCAGATTCTCTGAGAAGTTGCTTCGAATTTCCACCCTCCACCGGCTGAGAAAACAATCCTGTCTGGCAGCATTCCTGCAGCTAGGTGGTGAAGAAAGCAGGGATCTCACCATTCAGTATGTTAAGTCACTTGTTTTTCACCAGTCCTGAGTTCATGTATTCTACTCCTTCTAGACTAGAGATCTCAGACTTCTACTCCGGGGAATGGGGGAAAAGTGGTAAAAGAGATCTGAGCCTCTACTTAAATAGGCTTTTCAACCAGGTCTTGAATTTTTAGCCCTGTCTTCATCCTCATTTCCAGAAGTATCTGTGCTGCCAGTCCCTAAGCTTTTGAGCCAGATACAGATTTAGATACAGATATTATATATTTATGTATACATATTTATGATATCAAGATATAAGTGAGGTTATGGGGCGCCTGGGTGGCTCAGTCGATTAAGCGTCCAACTTCAGGTCATGATCTCGCAGTCCATGAGTTCAAGCCCCTCGTCAGGCTCTGTGCTGACAGCTCAGCACCTGGAGCCTGCTTCGGATTCTGTGTCTCCCTCTCTGTCCCCTTCCCCACTCATTCTCTGTCTCTCAAAAAATGAAAAAAACTCTTTTTAAAGATAACAGTGAGGTTCATTTACATATATATATTGTGTGTATATAGATATGTAGATATAGATATGATATCAGGATAGATGTCAGGTTAATTTTTGGCTCTCCCCATGGGTAGCTAAGGATTTCTCTCTCTGTCCTTGGTAAAGCTATTCATCTTCTTTCAAGCTCTAAAACTTTTATTGATGCTTTATCTTGTCCCTTTTTTTTTTTTTTTTTTTTTTTTTTTTTTTTGGTCTTTGTGGATTGATGCCTTTTTAAAATTCTTCAGGTGTAATTGTAGAGGGGTTTCAGGAAAGTAGAGTACATGTCACTTATTATCTTAAACTGGAAAGTCCCTAGTGAGTAATTTCTGTTAATTCCAGCCTTATCAAATTGATTTACGGTCTTAGAAGGATGACAGATTTTCACCTGCACTTGTCATTTAAGCTCCTTCATCTGCTTTTCCTTCTTGGGTATTGTATAGATTCCATTGGTTTACATCGAGTAGAGAATATCAGCCATACAGAGCCTGCCGTCAGCCTTCACTTGTACAGCCCGCCTTTTGATACATGCCACGCCTTTGATCAAAGAACAGGACATAAAAACAAAGTCACCATGACATTCCACAGCAAATTTGGAATCAGGATTCCATTTGTAAGTATAATTTCTCTCTTCTCGGCTTAAGTGCTTTGTCTGTTGGCAACATTACACACTGTACGTGTTGCTTGTTCTAGATATTGTTTGTATGTCTTGCTGTAAGTAAGTTTTCTCAAAGTGAAGAATGAGATGAACCTTAACTTGGTGCAAAGGCGCCTGACATCCTAATTCTTTTCTTCTTTGGAGACGATATGACAATGTTTTCAGTTTCTTTAAAATAACATAGATTTGGGGCACCTGGGTGGCTCAGCCAGTTAAGCATCCCACTTGGCTCAGGTCGTGATCTCACAGTTCCTGAGTTCGAGCCCCACATTGGGCTCTGTGCTGACAGCTTGGAGCCTGGAGCCTGCCTCGGATTCTGTGTCTCCCTGTCTGCCCCTCCCTTGCTCCCACGCTGTCTCTCTCTCAAAAATAAATAAATAGAAAGAAATTTTTAATAAATGAATTAAATAAAATAATGTAAATTAGATGCAAAGAATTGTTTATTGACAAATTTAAAAATGTAAGCTCACTACTAAAGAAAATGTTTTTTCAGAGTGCCTGGGTGGCTCAGTCGGTGAAACATCTGACTCTTGATTTTGGCTCAGGTCATGATCTCATGGTCTTGAGATCAAACCCTGCATCAAGCTCCACGCTGAGCAGGGAACCTGCTTGGGGTTCTTTCTCCCTCTCCCTGTGCCCCTCCCCTGCTCACGCATGCAGGCGCTCTCTCAAAAAAAAAAAGAAAAGAAAATGTTTCTTCATTTATTAGAGAAATAAGAATAAAAACTATATTATTTGATCTAACTGTTATTGCTGGGACTTAATATTCATAGACCTGATTGACTACGACAACACAAGTCATTAGCATAGTTAACCTTCACAAAGTCAAGGCCCTGTTCCGGTGCTATAAATACACTGGTCTGTTTTGATTGCCAAAGAGTGGTGATACTATTTAGACCACAAATAAAATGAGAGTAGGCTCTAATGACATGTTTCCTCTCAAGAACTAAGTGTTTTTCCTCCTGAAAATAATAAGGCAGCCACCAGTGACACCTTATGGCAGTGTTCTACCTGTGGTGAAATAAATTGGCCATTTAGGGGGGAATGATGTTGAATTAATAACAGGAATGTCCAGAAATAGACAGTGCGTGAAAATCCAATACTGGAAGCCATCCTTACAAATCTTAAAGCACAGCCTTGGAGGGAAACAAGGGCAGAAATTTCTCAGGTGATTGCCCCGCTTGGTTTTCTGCATTCTGATCCCCAAGAGATAGTCTTATCACAGGAATGAAACTCCAGGGCTCCACTGCCAAAGCCAAGTTTACGTACGCTGCTAAAAAAGCAGGACTCCTTAGGAACAAGCCGAAAAGGTCTTGTGTAAAAGATTCTTACACAACTTTCTTTCTTTCTTACAGACAGTTTCAGGATCCGTGGAGAACAACTAAGAAGCACCAAATCCTCTAAGGTTTTACTCTAAGGTCTGCTAAAAGTTTTGCCTTGGACAGGGAGGCCTCCCCACCATCTGCTGTCCAACAATACACGTTTTACAAAGCCAATACCCAGATCTACTACAAAGCAGACGCTAATTGTAAGGCATTGAGCAAGCAAATAGTGCCCTGAGCTACTGCAGAAGAAAAATCCCACTAAAGGGAAAATAAGCATCATAATTGCAAGGGCCAAATCAAGTACTCTCTTGGTTTTATCCTCTAAATTCAGGGGAACCACAGTGGGAATGTCAATGAAGGATGCTTTTGGAAACGCTTTGGTCCCTGAACTGTAATTAGCGATAAATAAAAACAAGAAACCACAGACGTCAAATGCTCGCCTTGCTACTTGGAGGACTAAATGTAGATGCCTTTAGTATCCTTTGTATGTTCTTAATATTTGCAGAGAAATTTTTGGATCTATGGATTTTATTTTTTCAGTCTTACTTTACAAATTCCTGTCCTATACGTAGTAAGGTATTGTAGACAGAGAAAAACGTAACGAACTTTGTCATTTGGTAACGAAAGGAAGGACAGAAGGTTTAGAAAAGTACACATACCCAAACACAAACCAGACCAAAAAACATTAAACTCCTGTCTAAACGTGTGCAGCGGTCATAGTCAAAGACTTTGTACTGCTCCTGAAATCGCCAAATAATTTTAATAAAACTGGATTTGAATACAATTCAGTGTTGTCTTTCTGTTTAACTTGATAAGAATTTCCTACAATTCATACTTTCTTAGATTTACATGAAGTACCAAAAGCACGACAAAAGATACTTTGATGGGGGTGCCTGGGTGGCCCAGTCAGTTAAGGGTCCGACTCTTGATTTTAGCTCAGGTCATGATCTCATGGTTCGTGAGTTCGAGTCCCAGCTCAGGCTCTGCACTGACAGTGTGGAACCTGCTTGAGATTCATTCTCTCTCTCCCTCTCTCTGTCTCTCCCCTTCTGCCCAGGTCGTGTATTCTCTCGCTCAAAAATAAAAACTAAATTTTTAATTTTTTTTAATGTTTATTTATTTATTTGTAATGTTTATTTTTGAGAGAGAGACAGAATGCGAGTGGGTTAGGGGCAGAGAGAGAGGGAGACCGAAACAGAAGCAGGCTCCAGGCTCTGAGCTGTCAGCATAGAGCCCGACGCGGGGCTCAAACTCATGAGCTGTGAGATCATGGCCTGAGCTGAACTCAGTTGCTCAACCGACTGAGCCACCCAGGCGCCCCTGTGTTTATTTTTTTTTGAGAGAGAGAGAGAAGGAGACAAAGAATTTGAAGCAGGTTCCAGGCTCTGAGCCGTCAGCACAGAGCCTGATGCGGGGCTCAAATTCACGAACTGAGAGATCATGACCTGAGCCAAAGTCGGATGCTTAACCGACTGAGCCACCCAGGTGCCCCTTAAATTTTTAAAAAAGATACTTTTATGGTCTAACCCTTACGGTTGTGAGAGTGCCAAAAAATGAGTTCAAAAGAGCTCACCTTTTTGTGTTGTACAGTTGTTCATGAATTACCCAGAAGTCCCAACCCCAGAGGCCCTTGGCTCTCTTGGGATTCACTGACATAAACAGTTTTGCCTGAGAATTGTGGGTGGGTCTGTGGGTGTTCTGTAGGTGTTCAAGTGCGAATTGGTTTCCAGCATTTAAAAACGAGATTTCCTAGAAGAAGGTGTAGATTTCTAGCTTCTTGAACATTTTTAGTTCCTTTTCAGCATTTTCACGGATGTCCGTTAGCTGGGCTCAGCTCTGCCTCCTGGATGGGACCACCTCTCCAGTCCGTGTCCGGCTTACCTGTCTCTCTGTTGATGTTACTTGCAGAGACCACATATGCGTTTCGGCTTTCTGCCCCTGCTTCAGGCAGTCATTTTAGGAATATCTGTCATAATCTTGGAATTCATTATCTCCAGAAGCTTAATTAGAAAGTAAAGTCCTTTGGGTTGCCTGGGTGGCTCAGTCGTTTGAGTGTCCGACTCTGGATTTTGGCTCAGGTCATGATCCCAGGATGGTGAGATCAAGACCCATGTTGGGCTCCACACTGAGCCTGGAGCCTGCTTAAGATTCTATCTCCCTCTCTCTCCCTCTCCTGCACTCACTCACGTGTGCATGCACACTCATTCTCTCTCTCTTAAAAAAAGTCCTTTGAAGATGGTTCTATATTGGTCACTGTGTTGTTTACACCACATCACCGTCTATAGAATTATTTACATCTTGCTTCCTCTCATTTAGTGAGTGCTTACTACGTAGTAGGCATTGTTAACCAGTTGTCCAGACGTACTAACAAACTCCTGGAATGTTTCTTCATGAATTAGGTCCTATATTGGCTTTCTACTGCTGCTTGAATGTATTTCACTACAGACTTAGTGGCTTAAAGCAACACCAGTTTATTATCCTACAGCTCCATGGGTTGGAAGTCTGACTTTCACGGCCTTAAAATCCATAATAACGGCAGGCTTGCATTTCCTTTGTGTGAGTTTTGTGTGGGGTCTGTTTTATTGAGTGTTTTCCCCCAGCTTCTAGAAACTAGTCGGAATGCCCGGCTCCAGATCCCCTTGTCCATCTTTAAGCCAGCAATGGCAGACTGAGTTCTGTATCTAGGCACTCTGACCCATTCTTTGCTACTCTCTCCTCACTCAAACAACCAGAAAGTATCTGTATCTCTAGATTTTACCCTTCCATCTGTAAAGTCTCTTGGCATGTGAGATAATGTATTTATAGGTGCTGGGGGTCAGGATGTGGATGTTTGGGGGGGGGGGTCACCCTACCACAGTCTACCCCCGTCTTCCCAGACTGCTGTGTCCATCCCACATGCAAACTAGATTCACCCCATCCCAGGGTCCCCATCACAGTGTCAACTGAAAGTCCAAAATTTTGACCAAATCTCATCATTTAAATCAGGAATGCGTTAAGGCTCTATCATAATCCCTGGGACTCCGTTGTTCCCCACATTTTGAATTGTTCAGCATGGTTTAGACGTGCTGAATTCATCCAGCCAAGATGTTACAGAGCTAGGATTTGACCCCAACCCACTTCCTTTAAAACTCCTTCTCAGGGCCTCTGGGTGGCTCAGTTGGTTAAGCGACCGACTCTTGATTTCAGCCCAGGTCATGGTCTCTTCTTGATCGTGAAATTGAGCTCCCCATCAGGCTCTGCGCTGAAAGTGCGCTGCTTGCCTGGGATTCTCTCTCTGCCCCTCCCCTACTTGTGCATTTGCTCGTACTTCTCTCTCTCTCTCTCAAAATAAATGAACTTTAAAAGAAAAAAGCAAAACCCAGCCACTCTCCATATGATTTCACTGAACCACTTAGGATTATCTGAAAAGTGTTCTTCCTTTTTTTACTCCCTACCAATAAGATGGAAGCCCCAATGGGTGGATTTCATTTACTGCTTTATCAGACCTTAGGTCAGACCTGACACAGAGCAGGTACTCAATAAATACGTATGAAGTGAATGAAAAAAGGCTTGGGGTGACTGGGTGGCTCATTGGGTTAAGCATCTGGCTTGGCTCAGGTCTTGATCTCCTGGCTTGTGAGTTCGAGCCCTGCATCGGTGCAGATCCTGCCTGGGATTCTCTCTTCCTTCTTCTCCGCCCCCTTTCCCACTCTCTCTCTCAAAATAAACAGACTTAATTAAAAAACTCTCAATCTCCTCATATAACAATTTTGCATTAATGTACCCCAATGCTGCGGTCGTTTCCTTGTGTTACCAAAACACATGTGTTATATTATTTTCTGTTAAGTATGGAAATTCTGAGAATCATATTTTGAAGCCAGAGACTTCTTTCATTAGGCCCATGTCAGTGGCTTATCTTTTGGTGTGAGTTCATTGACTACGTACTTAGACAAACCAGTTGATGAAGAAAAGGCTTTTAGATACATTTCATGGGTGGGGACAGCATTAATTATCCCACTTAGCAAAGGTGCCCAGCCTTTATTTATTTATTTATTTATTTATTTATTTATTTTTTACTGATTCACAGACCACTTTGAAAACCTGAATGATATCTGAATGATAAAGTTCTCTCCAGAAATCCCAGCACACCATAAATTTGCATACAATTTCAGAAAAGATTCCTGGACCCTCCTAGGGTCTAGATTCCTAGATTCCTAGGTCCCTGGATCCCCATTAAAGAAGCTTGTCTTTTTTTTTTTTTTTTTTTTTAAGATTATTTTATTTATTTTGAGAGCAAGAGAGCACATGAGCCAGGGAGGGGCAGAGAGAGAGAGAGAGAGAGAGAGAGAGAGAGTGAGAGAATCTTAAGCAGGCCCTACACTCTGCTCTGAGCCTGATGTGGGATTTGATCTCAGAATCGTGAGATCATGACCTGAGCCTAAATCAAGAGTCAGATGCTTAATTGAGCCACGCAGGCGCCCCAGGAACCCTGTCTTACTGAGCCAAAGCTTGTAGGAAGTGATGGCTATTTGAGTTCATTTTCTGAGATAGGAGGGCATTGGCAAGCTAGGCTACTAGTTAACATTTTAAAAGTTAGAAGTGGGGGGCGGGGGGGGGGTTCCAGGAAACACCAGAAACTGGTGCTACCTTGTCCCAGGCAGGTCCACATATTTCACAAGTTCTGTTCTCTTTGTTTCTAAAAACATGAAGGACGTTTTAGACTTTCACAACTTTGTGTATCCAGTTGGTAGATGTTTTCTTTAAAAAGTATATATGAAAAAAAGAAGAAAAGAAAAAGTGTATAAAATAGTGAAATAAGCCAGACACAGAAAAAAACAAATATCGTATGATTCCACTCTTAGATAAGGACTTAGCCAATCCATAGAGACAAAAAATAGACTGGAGGTTCCTGGAGGGAAGGGGCTGGGGGGAGAGGGAGTTAGTGTTTCATGGGTACAGAGTTGGGAGTCATGAAAGCGATGTGCTTGGGGCTGCCTTAGTAGCCCAGTCAGTTGAGGGACCAACTCTTGATTTCGGCTCAGGTCATGATCCCAGGGTCGTGGGATGGAGCTTCGTGTCAG